TGTGGTAGGTAAGTTTGGGGGCCGGGTGAAAATGATAATGGGAGCCCTTTGATTGAACTTTGTATAGAAAGGGGTTTAGTTATAGGTAATACATATTTTAAGAAAAAGAGGATAAATAAGTATACACGATATGATGCAGGGCGAAATGACAGTAGTTTGTTGGATTATGTATTAGTAGATAAAAGACTGTTGAGTAGACTTCAGGATGTACATTTTTATCGAGGGGCCACAGATATATCAGATCACTTTCTAGTTGTAGCTACACTGAGAGTAAAAGGTAGATGGGATACAAGGAGAATAGAAGCATCAGGGAAGAGAGAGGTGAAGGTTTATAAACTAAAAGAGGAGGCAGTTAGGGTAAGATATAAACAGCTATTGGAGGATAGATGGGCTAATGAGAGCATAGGAAATTGGGGTCGAAGAGGAATGGGGTAGGTTAAAAATGTAGTGTTAGAGTGTTCAGCAGAAATTTGTGGTTACAGGAAAGTGGGTGCAGGAGGGAAGAGGAGCGATTGGTGGAATGATGATGTAAAGAGAGTAGTAAGGGAGAAAAAGTTAGCATATGAGAAGTTTTTACAAAGTAGAAGTGATGCAAGGAGGGAAGAGTATATGGAGAAAAAGAGAGAGGTTAAGAGAGTGGTGAAGCAATGTAAAAAGAGAGCAAATGAGAGAGTGGGTGAGCTGTTATCAACAAATTTTGTTGAAAATAAGAAAAAGTTTTGGAGTGAGATTAACAAGTTAAGGAAGCCTAGAGAACAAATGGATTTGTCAGTTAAAAATAGGAGAGGAGAGTTATTAAATGGAGAGTTAGAGGTATTGGGAAGATGGAGGGAATATTTTGAGGATTTGTTAAATGTTGATGAAGATAGGGAAGCTGTGATTTCGTGTATAGGGCAAGGAGGAATAACATCTTGTAGGAGTGAGGAAGAGCCAGTTGTGAGTGTGGGGGAAGTTCGTGAGGCAGTAGGTAAAATGAAAGGGGGTAAGGCAGCCGGGATTGATGGGATAAAGATAGAAATGTTAAAAGCAGGTGGGGATATAGTTTTGGAGTGGTTGGTGCAATTATTTAATAAATGTATGGAAGAGGGTAAGGTACCTAGGGATTGGCAGAGAGCATGCATAGTTCCTTTGTATAAAGGCAAAGGGGATAAAAGAGAGTGCAAAAATTATAGGGGGATAAGTCTGTTGAGTGTCCCTGGTAAAGTGTATGGTAGAGTTATAATTGAAAGAATTAAGAGTAAGACGGAGAATAGGATAGCAGATGAACAAGGAGGCTTTAGGAAAGGTAGGGGGTGTGTGGACCAGGTGTTTACAGTGAAACATATAAGTGAACAGTATTTAGATAAGGCTAAAGAGGTCTTTGTGGCTTTTATGGATTTGGAAAAGGCGTATGACAGGGTGGATAGGGGAGCAATGTGGCAGATGTTGCAAGTGTATGGTGTAGGAGGTAGGTTACTGAAAGCAGTGAAGAGTTTTTACGAGGATAGTGAGGCTCAAGTTAGAGTATGTAAAAAGAGGGAAATTTTTTCCCAGTAAAAGTAGGCCTTAGACAAGGATGTGTGATGTCACCGTGGTTGTTTAATATATTTATAGATGGGGTTGTAAGAGAAGTAAATGCGAGGGTCTTGGCAAGAGGCGTGGAGTTAAAAGATAAAGAATCACACACAGGGTGGGAGTTGTCACAGCTGCTTTTTGCTGATGACACTGTGCTCTTGGGAGATTCTGAAGAGAAGCTGCAGAGATTGGTGGATGAATTTGGTAGGTGTGGCAAAAGAAGAAAATTAAAGGTGAATACAGGAAAGAGTAAGGTTATGAGGATAACAAAAAGATTAGGTGATGAAAGATTGAATATCAGATTGGAGGAGAGAGTATGGAGGAGGTGAACGTATTCAGATATTTGGGAGGGGACGTGTCAGCGATGGGTCTATGAAAGATGAGGTGAATCATAGAATTGATGAGGGAAAAAGAGTGAGTGGTGCACTTAGGAGTCTGTGGAGACAGAGAACTTTGTCCTTGGAGGCAAAGAGGGGAATGTATGAGAGTATAGTTTTACCAACGCTCTTATATGGGTGTGAAGCATGGGTGATGAATGTTGCAGCGAGGAGAAGGCTGGAGGCAGTGGAGATGTCATGTCTGAGGGCAATGTGTGGTGTGAATATAATGCCAGAGAATTCGTAGTTTGGAAGTTAGGAGGAGGTGCGGGATTACAAAACTGTTGTCCAGAGGGCTGAGGAAGGGTTGTTGAGGTGGTTCGGACATGTAGAGAGAATGGAGCGAAACAGAATAACTTCAAGAGTGTATCAGTCTGTAGTGGAAGGAAGGCGGGTAGGGGTCGGCCTAGGAAGGGTTGGAGGGAGGGGGTAAAGGAGGTTTTGTGTGCGAGGGGCTTGGACTTCCAGCAGGCATGCGTGAGCGTGTTTGATAGGAGTGAATGGAGACAAATGTTTTTTAATACTTGATGTGCTGTTGGAGTGTGAGCAAAGTAACATTTATGAAGGGATTCAGGGAAACCGGCAGGCCGGACTTGAGTCCTGGAGATGGGAAGTACAGTGCCTGCACCCTGAAGGAGGGGTGTTAATGTTGCAGTTTAAAAACTGTAGTGTAAAGCACCCTTCTGGCAAGACAGTGATGGAGTGAATGATGGTGAAAGTTTTTCTTTTTCGGGCCACCCTGCCTTGGTGGGAATCGGCCAGTGTGATAATAAAAATAAATAAAAAAAATAATGACAACAGTGTTTGTGGAGTTATTGTGTAGCAAATAAAGACAAAAAACTTACAAAATAGTGCTCATATTGGTCTCACACGCCATAAAAGCTACTTGAAAAAAAAAATTGAAAATAATACCAAAAAACTAAATAAACTATGACCAGGTGACCGGCAGTCGGCGATGTTACTGTATGCCGGTCATTTTCTGTCAACTTCACACCTCCATATCTCGGTAAGTATTGGTGGTAAAAATTTTTTTTTAGCCTATAAGATTTAAAAAAAAAACTATCTTTTCATAAGAATTTTTTTTTTTTTTTAATTTTTCGACCCTGAGAACAAGTCTGGGAGAGGGCCTGTCGACCCTGAAAGGGTTAAATACTGTACATTATATATATATTATTACCCTTCTTTCTTTCTTTCAACAAACCAGCAGTATCCCACCGAGGCAGGGTGACCCAAAAAGAAAAATTTTAGTAATACATATATATATATAAGAGAAGGGGTTGCTAACCCTTGCTCCCGGCATGTTAGTCGCTTCTTATGACATGCATGGCTTACAGAGGAGGAATTCTGTTCCACTTCCCCATAGAGATAAGTGGAAATAAATAAGAACAAGAACTAGTAAGAAAATAGAAGAAAACCCACAGGGGTGTGTATATATATGCTTGTACATGCATGTGTAGTGTGACCTAAGTACAAACAGAGGTAGCAAGACGCACCTGAAATCTTGCAAGTTTATGAGACAGAAAAAAGACACCAGCAATCCTACCATCGTGTAAAACAATTACAGGTTTCCGTTTTACACTCACTTGGCACGACGGTAGTACTTCCCTGAGTGGTTCCTGTCTACCAACCTACTACCACAGGATCGTAGTACCTCCCTGGGTGGTTGCTGTCTACCAACCTACTGCCACAAGATGGTGGTGCCTCCCTGGGTGGTTGCTGTCTACCAACCTACTACCACAGGATGGTGGTGCCTCCCTGGGTGGTTCCTGTCTACCAATCTACCACTACAGGATGGTAGTATCTCCCTGGGTGGTTGCTGTCTACCAACCTACTACCACAGAATGGTAGTACCTCCCTAGGTGGTTACTGTCTACCATCCTACTAACACAGGACAGTAGTACCTCCCTGGGTGGTCGTTGTCTACCATCCAACTACCACAGGATGGTAGTACCTCCCTGGGTGGTTGTTGTCTACCAACCTACTACCACAGGACAGTAGTACCTCTCTGGGTGGTTGTTGTCTACCAACCTACAACCACAGGATGGTGGTACCTCCCTGGGTGGTTGCTGTCTACCAACCTATTACCACAGGATGGTAGTACCTCCCTGGGTGGTTGTCTACCATCCTACTACCACAGGATAGTAGTACCTCCCTGGGTGGTTGCTATCTACCAACCTACTACCACAGGACAGTAGTACTTCCCTGGGTGGTTGCTGTCTACCAACCTACTATCACAGGACAGTAGTACCTCCCTGGGTGGTTGTTACCTACCCACCTACTACCACAGGATGGTAGTACCTCCCTGGGTGGTGGTTGTCTACCAACCTACTACCACAGGATAGTAGTACCTCCCTGGGTGGTTGTTGTCTACCAACCTACTACCACAGGACAGTAGTACTTCCCTGGGTGGTTGTTGTCTACCAACCTACTACCACAGGACGGTAGTACCTCCCTGGGTGGTTGTTGTCTACCAACCTACTACCACAGAACGGTAGTACCTCCCTGGGTGGTTGTTGTCTACCAACCTACTACCACAGGACGGTAGTACCTCCCTGGGTGGTTGATGTCTACCAACCTACTACCACAGAACGGTAGTACCTCCCTGGGTGGTTGTTGTCTACCAACCTACTACCACAGAACGGTAGTACCTCCCTGGGTGGTTGTTGTCTACCAACCTACTACCACAGAACGGTAGTACCTCCCTGGGTGGTTGTTGTCTACCAACCTACTACCACAGAACGGTAGTACCTCCCTGGGTGGTTGTTGTCTACCAACCTACTACCTAGAATTTTTTATTTATGTGCATATGAAATATAAAATAGGATAGGAAATTTTTTAATAATTGAGGAGAGAAAAACTACCTAATTTCTGCAGCTTCAGGGTTCTTAAAGTCTCCAGGAACCTGACGAACATGAATTTCAGTGTTTAACTGTACTAATTTTATGTTATCCAACATGATACTTAGTTAGGATCAAAGACCAACACCTGTAATACCTGCTGGGAAGTATTTTAAGCCTGAAAACAAGAAAATGTTTCATAGCCCCAAAAAATAGTTTATTGGTTTCTTACCTTTTTTGTGTGAATTTTTTGCATTATCTCCCTCAGAGTAGGAAAAACACTCCTATGTTTCAAGACAGTTGAGGTCGTATCTCCGTTCATTATAATTTCTTCTTCATAAAACTCTTCTTTGACAAATTCCTCCTTCACTTTAAGGTTTTCATCAATAATGTTTTTAGCATTATTGTAGTGTAAGCCAGTCCAGACATTGATGGTGTGGGAAGGCGCCTCCATAACTGAGTCTTCCTCTTTAATTGGATCAAAAATTTCCAAATAATATGGGAAGTCTTCCTCTTGCTTCACTTTATCTGCAATGTAAAATATATTACAAATATAAACCAAATGTTTTCTCATTAAAAACTCATAAATTTTCCTCCGGTGACTGTTTCTCCAACGATAAAAGGTATCCCAAGGAAGAAGTCATTTACATGAATATGGTACAATACAATTTTTACTTCTTTATGCATTATAAATAATGTAGTTTACATGTTTACTGTGTAGGCAAAACTTTTCGGAATAAAGTTGCCTAACTGTTGCCTATGTGTCTTACCTACCAATAAAACATTGGTGGGCACAAAACAAAGCCACTAACATGTAATACACTTCAAGCAAACTAATGCTTCAAGATTACTTAAGATTTAGACAGACTATGAAGTAGAATTTCTTATACAGTTAACTACACTCACGTCTACAATAAGAAATAACAATAACAAGTTTACTTTAGCATGATACATGTTTGTACAAAGGAGTGTAACAATTTGGTGAACATGCCATGAGCCCTTTTATATGCAGAGCATTTTGGGCAAACTTAAGACTAATTTAAGATTAATAAGGCAGTAACAGTGCTGTAATTTTACATATGGTCATTAGGCAAGTTACAGTGAATACAAGAAAACTGAATATTCAACTAGTTATGTTACATGGATTTAGCAAGTCTGGGAGAGAATAATTCCAGTTTTGATAAAGCATATAATAAATACAGTAGTATTAGAATTTAGCACAATTTAAAACAATGAAGTTGAAAGAATTTTAAGTCTAGGTAGTGGAATTTTTACGCTTCTCTGTCACATCCCCTAGCAGCTCATAGTGGATCATACTTACACCTTACATAAATAATTCAAATATTACATTTATCTAAATTTACCAAACTTCAATATACAGTGGACCCCCGGTTTACGATATTATTTCATTCCAGAAGTATGTTCAGGTGCCAGTACTGAACGAATTTATTCCCATAAGGAATACTGTATTGTGAATTAGATTAGTCCATTTCAGACCCCCAAACATACACGTACAAACGCACTTACATAAATACACTTACATAATTGGTCGCATTGGGAGCTGATCGTAAAGCGGGGGTCCACTGTACCTTTGACAAGAAAAATACAGTAGTCCCCCCACATCCGCAGGTGTTACATTCCAAGATTACCGCAGATAGTAGCAAATTCTATATACTACACACCATTTTTCAGTTACATATATCTGTATGATAAAGTTTAATTGATAAATTACACACATTACCTACATTATATAATAAAAAAATACATTGTACATTATTATTATACTTGTGCTATCTCTCTCTCATGCTCGCTCTCTCTCTATTGTGCTCTCTCTCTCTCAAATGAAATAGATTCTGACATTTTAGCTTAACCTTCAAGGGACAATGGAGCAATGAAAAATATCTTGTCAAACCACACACACACAACCACACACACACACACACACACACACACACACACACACACACACACACACACACACACACCGTTTAAATGCATTTTAACATTTATTTCTTATCGGGGAGACAGTTATAAATATTGTTTCATTACATATTGTTCGAGTTCAAGATATTCAAAGAAAATGGTGGCAAACACATAACTGGAGAGAAAATATTTCTTTTTGTTTATTTTTGGAAGCGACTGAAGCTATTTATCTGTAAAAAATATATAAAAGGAGTGTTGTTCTACACTTCTTCTGCAGTTACCACTAGTTATAAACACAGATTTTTTAGTGGTAGTAGGTCAGAAAGATGTACTATAATCATCGTAATACATGTATTATAATCGAATTATATTTTTTTTTTATTAACACATTGGCCATTTCCCACCAAGGCAGGGTGGCCCAAAAAAGAAAAACTTTCATCATCATTCACTCCATAACTGTCTTGCCAGAGGCATGCTTACACTACAGTTATAAAACTGCAACATTATCACCCCACCTTCAGAGTGCCAGTACTGTACTTCCCATCTCCAGGACTCAAGTCCGCCTGCCAGTTTCCCTGAATCCCTTCATAAATGTTACCTTGCTCCAACAGCATGTTAAGTCCTAAAAACCATTTGTGTCCATTCACTCCTATCTAACATGCTCACGCATGCTTGGAATATCATAATCACCATGTTATAATATTATAATCATATTATAATCATAATACGTATTATAATCGTAATACGCATTATAAAAATCATAGTACTATAATCATCGTAATATTATAATCAACAACATAGATTCCAATATGTGTTTGTGGCTACCACACTTCACTATTATGCCAATTTCCTCCTTTATGGCTGTTTGTATTAGGTTTTCATGATATGTAGCATGTTTCTTATATAATTCTGAAAAACACATGATACCTAAAACAAAAAAAAAAAAAATTTCAATAATAGTGTAAAAAGAGCGATATGCTAACTTACGTTGGAGTCTCAAGCATTACTGAGACTGCTCTTACACCTCTCTTGTCTGAGATAAGCTTCTCCCACTTTATAACCAGGCCAAATGCTTATTGTAATATATTAATAATACTATTAATAACAATAATAATAATACTAACAATAATAATAATTATTAGAAGTAGTAGTATTTTCTTTAGAAACATCATATGAAGATGAGATTTACACCAAAATGTTGCCAGATTGATGAACTATTTTTTTGGTAATTTTAACTCATTTTCCAATTTTTTTCTAATATTTTTGATGGTTTTTGTACCCATCTGACTGACCACGGCTACCTCCCCCTTAGTTAAAAATATCTTAGCCTATTTTGGGTACTCACTGGCTTCTCTATTCTTCACTGTTGCTGCAATGATATGAAGTAATGATGATACAATGCCTACGGTGATGAAATGAAGTGAGGTGATGGTATAATCATACTGTGACACTATGTTAGGCTATTGTGAGATGAGTCATGTACTGAGTGCGACAGGGCATGAAGATTTCATCATGTTAGATAAGATAATTTATTTCAGTATGATACAATGTTCGTACAAAGGTGAATGACATTTAGGTGTGCTTTCAGAAACTCCATTAATATGCAGAGCATTTCAGACAAAGGCACACAATTTGAAACTAATGAATCGTTCACTTCTGGAATTTTCCATTTAATATTTTTGGGTCACGGTAAACCACAGAAACAATCTGCAGATGCAGGGTTCTACTTATATGAAACTGCCTAATGGCTCCATTTCAGCTCATAAATTAAGTGATCTTAACATATTACATGCCGCAAATGCTCAAACTTATTTTTAGTAATTTATACAGGAGAAGGTTACTAGCCCATTGCTCCCGGCATTATTGTCACCTCTTATGACATGCATAAATAAATAAATGACATGCATAAATAAATCCTCATACATATGGATTAACTTACCTTCACGTGGCTTCTTCTCGTACACAATAAATGCCACATGAATCACATTTCACAGTCACAAACAATACACTATTTTGAAAGCTAAACTTGAATTTCATATCACTAAGCAATACTTTATAACGAGAACAAGTTCTAAATTTTCTTTGATTATCAACACTAACCTGCAGCAGATAAAGGAAATGATATGTTAGTTGATGTTGCAGAGGTCACGGCAGATCTTGCAGGAGCCACCGGCATGTCAGATGATGTGGAAGGCTGAGTCAGGTCAATGAGTAACGTACCCTTGAGCCTTTTTGTAGGATTCCCACTATCAACAGCTGGCCGTTTTACTCCGCCAGTACTAAAGCGTAAGTCATATCCCGAAACACCATCAATGCATTCGCTAGGTTCATCATCGCTAGATATTTCAACTATGGTATTACAAACAGCGTGGTTATCAGTACCACATGTAAGGACAACAGAACCAGCAGCACCACCACCATCACCTTCTGAGGTTCCTCCAGGCTGGCCAAAAAATAAAATTTTATACTTACAAAACATATTTATATTACAAATATTTTTGTAAAACCCCATTGCATGCACAGCATTTCTAGCAACTTAGACTAGGAGTACAATTTCCTTAGACTAAAAATGTGTACTGCACATAGATATGGAGGTTCTCTAAGCTTGTGTCTAGCACAGGGTATTGACAGAATATAAAATTAACAATTAAAAGCTATTTCTAAGATTATTCAATACAAACAAGATGTATGTTAATTAATCAGGTAAGGTATTTTGTAATATTCATACCTTTATTTGGACTGATAAGAAAAAACTAAAGCTGAACTAATAGTATGCAAATGGAGCATTTAAGTTTTGTAAAACACCAGCCATCTTTCCTTACAGTGACCTGATAAGGAAACACATCCATCATCACTCATTCAGTACCTGTCTTTCCAGAAATGTAAAGGCATCACAATTCAAATGACACTGACCTAAAACATCACTACTCATCCTTCAGAGTGCAGCCACTATACTTCCCATCTCCAGGACTTTAGTTCTGCTAACCTGTATCCCATAAACTACATAAATGTTGTCTTTCTTACACTCCAAATTAGTCACCGCCATTCACTCTTATCAATCACAATCAAACATGCCTGCTATGATGCTCAAGCCCCTAGTACTCAAACTTCTTTTACCCATCCTCCAATCCTTCTTGAGATGGCCCCTACCCATCCCTTCCTCCAAAACAGATTTATATACATTAGTCCCTCCATATCAGCGGGTGATATGTTCAGAGACCTACCATGGATACCCAAAACTGTGGATAAAGATAAATAAAGATAAAGATAAAGGTTTATTTCTTTGTAAACGTTACAATGTGTAATTACAATTTTGGCTTGCTAAGTACAAAGAAAGCCACTATCATGCCAGGGCATTTCAGGCAGATAGTAGTGAATTCTATAAACAAGTCGTTTTTCATTTACATACATACCTGTGATCAAGTTTAATTGATAAATTACACATAATAGGTTAAGAATTAGCTCTTTCACTGATGGGAATCATTTCATGGCTTCTCTTAGGCTTTGAAGAACTGCCACCATTACTACTATTGTGCTTTGGGGTTATTATTAAACAAAATTAAGGGTTACTTTCGAGCCGTGGCAAACTGCAAATAACTGAAATCGCGAAAACCAAAACCTTGTATCTGCAGATACAAGGATTCTACTGCACTCCGAGTCATCCTATTCACCTGCATTCTCTCTAAATGCTTGAAGAATACCTCAAGCATACTTGTGGACATCAACACTCCTGCAACCTAGTCCCAGATCAGGCCTTCTGGTGTACAGTGGACCCCCGCATAACGATTACCTCCGAATGTGACCAATTATGTAAGTGTATTTATGTAAGTGCGTTTGTATGTGTATGTTTGGGGGTCTGAAATGGACTAATCTACTTCACAATATTTCTTATGGGAACAAATTCGGTCAGTACTGGCACCTGAACATACTTCTGGAGTGAAAAAATATCGTTAACCGGGAGTCCACTGTATCAAGGTTTCATCAACCAAGCTGTTAATGATGGCCACACACAGTCCAGTGTACAAACTACAGCTTGGCTCATCAGGAACTGATTTGAGGAACTTGATCAATTTCCCTCTTGAAGACAGCCAGAGGTTGGTTAGTAATTCCCCTTATACATGAAGGGAAGGCAATGAAAAGTCAGGTACTCCAAAGCTCATCGTTTTCTTTTAGTATACTCATTGCACTCCTGCCTTTTATTGGAAGTACTCCACACTGTTTCTTCTAAATTTCTTGTTTTCATATGGAATGATTTCAGTATGAAGACTTGGGACCAGTCCCTCCAAGTTTTTCATTTTGTAAATTGGGATGTATCTCTGTTGCCTACATTCCAAAGAATACAGTTGGAAAGACTTTAGGTGTTAGGTAAAAGGCCACATATGCAAGTAATGTGACATTTTAACTTGGCAACATTTCATTCTCCTGGAGCTTGACAAAGCTCCTGGAGAGCAAAACATTCCCACAATACAATGTCACATTACTTGAACATTTGTACTTTTACCTAATGTATTGTGGGGAAATTCTACCAACATTATTACACTTCAGGTATTCCCAGTAGTTCAGATGCTTGACTGAGAGTATACAGAAAGTGAAAGTTTTTGTGTTTTCCAGCCTGAAGAACACAAATGACTTGACGAGAATCATCATTGGCTCGGTATCTCGTCTTGAAAGTTCTAGTTTTGCAGCCTATCATTTTCTTTGCAGCAGCAATAGCAACACTATTGTAATCAATGAATCAGATATCCTCTGCCATCATCACTCCTAAGAATTTCACACGGAACTCTCCAGTGAATAGATCGAGTTAGTCCTACTCCATTTCGGTTCTTATTTCCTTCATTCTTCCATGTTGGAGTAACTGAATCCTGTCCTCATTGAACATCATATTGTTGCCTAATGCCAACTGGAAGATTTTATTTATATCTGCTTGAAGATTCGCTATCTCTGACAGATGTCAATCTTACAGAGATGCTGAGGTCATCAGCAAAGGACATTTGTGGTGCCATGATTCATGTCCTTGTCTATGTCAGATGTAAGAATGAGAAACAGAAGTGGAGTGAGCACTGTTCATCGAGGAACAGGACTTTTCACTGTGGCAACTTTTGACTTCACTGTGCTTGCTACTACTCTCTGGATTCTGTTTATTAAGAAGGTAAATATCCATCTACCCACTTTACCAGTTATAACTTCAGCATACATCTTGTGTACTATCACACCATGGTTGTACTTGCCTAAGGGGTACATATATTGTGAACCGTCTCTCCATGCAGATAGCATTAGAGTTTACATCAGCATCTAGCTTGTCTTCCAGTGCCTCCAGGACCATGTTGTAATGGTTAAACAATTATAAAAGCAAGAGTGACCTGCTCTACACCCACACTGCCCTGGATTGTGCAATTGTTATGATTCCATGTGATAGGCAATCTTACTTAGGACCCCATTCAAATATTTTGACATGTATAGTTAGCACTATTGGTCTATAGTTTTTTGCAATTGCTTTACTGTCACAATTGTGAAGAGGGGCTATATTAGTGGTTTTTAATGACTGCAAGATGACACCCAAGTCAAGGCTCCATCTAGAATGTAGAAGGCCCAAGAAAGTCGTTTCTTGTAATTTTTGATGAATATGGAGTTCCAAAAGGCTGGGCCTGGGGCAGAATGCATAGGCATGCAGTCAATGGCTTCTTCAAAGTCAACTGGGATTGGGTAACATCAGATGTCAGCAGTGCTTTGAGTCTCATTCATAAAAACTCCTTAGTCTTTCATCTGAAGTTATAACATTACAATTCAGTCACGTGACTTAACCCTTAAACTGTCCAAATGTAGATCTACGTTTGTGCGCATAGCGCTCCGACCTTTATTTTCTCCATAAGAAACAATGTAAAGAAAAACAAAGATCTACGTTCGGAGCGCTACACGAGCAAACATAGATCTATGTTTGGACAGTTTAAGGGTTAATAGTCATATTACGACTTCAGAATTTCACTCATTTCCCTACTGTTATCAGTGTACATTTCATCTCTCTGAAGTAAAAGCCCTATAGTGGATGTGGTTTTTGCCCTGGATTTTGCCATAAATGAAATTAGAAGAAATTCAAAATTTCTTCTAATTTCATTTATGCCTCTTTGATCCCTCTGTCTTTCCTGGATTCTGTTATTTAATCAGTTTGTACTCGGTGTTCTTCTTTTCCCTAACCGGGGATTCCTTCGTGCTTCAGAGAGTCTGCAGGGCCTGGTGTGGCCAGTGTGGCCATCCCAGACCCTCGGTCAAGCACTTCTGGGGTGGCCAGTGTTACAACTCAGAGGCTACTACGCAAGAGGAAATTATCTCATTCTGTCTGTTTTGGAAAAAAGACAGTGAAAGTGATGATGAGATTGATTTTATGCCCATAGATGATTAGCCAAGTGATGGTGATATACATTATTCCCCAGTGAGGCGTACTTTTAGGCGTCATTGCCTACATTCAGACAATGTGCCATATGCAGTTCCAAGGGTCGTGGGAGGTCACAATAGAAAACCCCAGCCACTGATAGTAATAGCGATCATGAAGGAGAATATGCAAGGACGGAGGAAGAGAGGTGGTGGTGGGTGGCATGGTGCCTGGGCTACATGGCACAGTGGGTGGGCAGACAAAGGACTGCCTGGCACCCCGTCAACCATGTGCTGCCTCCACTCCCGTCCCTTCTCCTGCTCCCGCATGCCCCATGCCACAGGTCCACCCTGCACCATGTGACCATGAATGGAACTGGACACAAAGTACAACATTCGTGCCACATCCTTTCGATGTTTGATGCCAGTGGAAGTGGCATCCTCCCAGAATGTCCTATCACGAATGAGTCTACAGAGTTAGACTTTTTCCAATTATACTCTGATGGGCCGATAATGAACTTGATTGTCACCCATACAAACAATTACTACTGCTATATAGTGGACAACACAGATGTTGCAGAATCAACACAGCTGCGCAGACAGAAAGATACGACTGTGACCAAAATGTATTTATTCCTTGGTACTGTCATGCTTATGCCTCATACGTATAAGCACAATAGAGAACAGTACTGGTCCACAGACTACTTCATCAGTACTCCCATCTTCTGCAACCTCCTTCCCTGCAACAGATTCACTCTGTTGCTACAAATGTTGCATTTCTCAGACAGGAATATGCCCAACAGAAATGACCTTCTATACAAAATCCAGGAAGTGCTTATGTATCTAAAGCAGAAATTCAGTGAATACTTTTATCCATTCAAGAACATTGCTGTCAACGAGTTCTTGATTCTGTTCAAGCGACAACTGTCATTCAAACAATATATACTGAGCAAACATAATCGCTTTGGAATAAAACTGTTTGATGTGTGTGACTGAGAGTGATGTTGTGTAGGATGTTACTGTTTACACTGGGAGAAACACACTTGATGATGATAGGCAGATGTTGGCATTTCCAGT